GGGGCTGCCCCGCCCCCTCCCGCCCGCGCGCGGCGTTCTATCGGGCGGGGCCACTCCCCGCGCGGGGTTCCAGCCGCCCCGCACCCGAGGATAGGCCCTGGACACGGCCCCCAGCTGTCCTCGTGTGGACGTGGGGCTTGCCTCTAGGGAGGAGCTGCCCGTGCCCGCTCCCAGCCACGTTCCGGTGCCGCCATCTGAATGGGACAGATGAGAGCTCTCTGCCCCCCAGGATAGCCCGAGCCTTCCTGCGTCCTGCAGTGGAAGAAAGAGCACCTGGTGCTCCAGTGGGTTGCCTGTCCCTGTGCTGCCAGGTGCTGTGATGGGTTGTGCAGACTATCACTGGCAGTCCCAGCGGGTCCTGGTTGTCTGCATGAGCCCCCTCAGCTCCACTCCTGCCTTTAGCGAGCCACTCTGCCTTTCAGCCGCCTGTTCGTGAGCTCCTCTCCTCAGTGGCCCTGCATCACCCAAGAGACCTGGATGCGGAGCAACGCTGGCCTCTTCTCAGGCAACTCGAATCAATATCTGACCCTTGCTTTTGCTTGGGAGTGATGCTCCTCCTTCCTGCCTAAAGTTTGGCACCTCAGCCCATCTCTTGTGGCTGTCCCGCTCCGTCAGTATGGGACAATCCCAGTGGGAATCAGGAAGGTTGTCCACTAGCACCTCAGCCAGCGCCCATCCACTGGCTAGGCCACTCAGCACTGCCATGCATGGGGGGAAATCCTCTTAATCTCTCTCTGAAAACATCAGAGTGCCTCATTCCTTACCCTCCTGCTAGCCTAGGGCCAGGCTCTAAGGTTTCTTGAAGGAGCCCTAAATGAGGGCCACCATATAAGTGAGGGTCTCATATTTTTTGGACCCAACCCCTGACTGTGGAGGTTAGGGAACCTCCATGTCCCCTGTGTTTCAGTAGCTTATGCACAAAATACTAAGGCCTAAGTGTGTTCTGGTGATCAGTCTTCTCAAGTCTATCTTACGGCTCTGCTTGGACTTTACATAGCAGATGTATGTGACCCAACATTTTAGTGAGTCTGTGTCACCTGAACAAGACTTGGCATCCCAGAGCCAGCAGTCTAGCATTAGGATGTTGACTGTCTGTCTTGGACTCAGCCCATGTCCGTGGCTATTGTCTGTCCCAATTCACAGCAGAACTGGTAATGCTTACCAACCTGTTCAGAAGCTCATGAACTCAGGTCCTCAGAGGGTCCAGGACAGATACCCAGGGTCATCTCCATGGATAATCAGCCATGCCTGCCAAACATAATGGAGCAAAGCATGTGTAGAGCTGTGTATTGTGTTGTTCTACACACAGGCCAGTTCAGGCAGGTTATATCAGTCTCCATGTAAAGTCTTTTCCAGGGTCCTGAGTCTCATTGGTTCATTCATAGAGCTCATTCAGAGAGCTGTCCTTACCTTGTGTCCTTAGCTTCCATCCATTCTTGTGGATGGAAGCCTGCTGTCCTTAGCTTGTGGCTACTACTGCATGCCTAGGGGCAACCAACACGGGTTCATCAGCGGCAGGTCCTGCCAGACCGACCTGGTGGCCTTTTACGATCAGATCACCAGATCTTTAGATGCAGGGGTAGCAGTGGACATAGTCTTCCTGGACTTCCGGAAGGCTTTCGACACTGTCTCTCACCCCGTTCTCATTAAGAAACTGGGGGGCTGTGGTGTAGACACCCACACAGTCCAATCGGTCGCCAACTGGCTGGAGGGCTGCACCCAGAGGGTGGTAGTGGGTGGGTCCTTCTCAACCTGGAAGGACGTGGGCAGTGGGGTTCCACAGGGCTCGGTCCTCGGGTCCGCACTGTTCAACATCTTTATCAGTGATTTGGACGAGGGGGTAAAAAGCACCCTGTTCAAATTTGCTGATGACACTAAGATGTGGGGGGATGTGGGCACACTAGAAGGAAGCAACAGGCTACAATCAGACCTAGACAGGTTACAAGGGTGGGCGGATGAGAATAGGATGGGTTTCAACACAGACAAGTGCAAGGTGATGCACCTGGGGAGGAACAACCGGCACCATACCTACAGGTTGGGGAACTCCCCTCTTGTCAGCACGGAGGCGGAAAAGGATCTTGGAGTCATCATTGACTCCAAGATGAACATGGGCCGGCAGTGTGGGGATGCAGTCAGGAAGGCCAACCGCACCTTGTCATGCATCCACAGATGCATCTCGAGCAGGTCCAAAGAGGTGATCCTCCCCCTCTATGCGGCACTGGTCAGGCCACAGTTGGAGTACTGCGTCCAGTTCTGGGCGCCGCACTTCAAGAGGGATGTGGACAGCATGGAGAGGGTCCAGAGGAGGGCCACTCACATGATCAGGGGACAGCAGGGCAGGCCCTATGAGGAGAGGCTACGGGACCTGAACCTGTTCAGCCTCCAAAAGAGAAGGCTGAGGGGGGATCTTGTGGCCTGTTATAAACTAGTCAGGGGGGATCAGCAGGCATTGGGGGAGTCACTGTTCCCCCGAGCACCGCCAGGAGTGACCAGGAATAACGGTCACAAGCTGGCAGAGGGTAGGTTTAGGCTAGATATCAGGAGGCGCTACTTCACGGTCAGGGCGGCTAGGGTCTGGAACCAACTTCCAAGAGAAGTGGTGCAGGCTCCTACCCTGGGGGTTTTTAAGAGGAGGTTAGATGAACACCTTGCTGGGGTCGTTTGACCCCAGTACTCTTTCCTGCCATGGTAGGGGGTCAGACTGGATGACCTTCTCAGGTCCCTTCTGACCCTAGAAACTATGAAACTATGAAACTACTATAACCAAAAAGACGTTCCTTGCACAACCACAGCTCAGAAGGTGTTTTTAAATCAGGGAGCACCTTGAAAGGAGAGGCAACAAGTTGCACAAAGCAGTGCCAGAAGGCTTCCATGATCACCTACCACAATCTCCCTATGCTCTGTAGCCACCAGCACCATTCCAGTGTGTCTAATCTGGTAGAATAAATGTGTTACAGGAGGTTCTCTGTAAAAATGATGAAGTGGGCAGCTGCAAGATAGCCCTTAAGCTTCCCTGTTATGGCCTAGACTAGAAGGAGTTGTAGCATTGCTCATTTTATTCCTACCTTTGTTCCTCATAATCTTTAGCTGACACACAGGATCATCACCCTTTCCCATCTACCCTGATCTTAGGAGAATGCAGCACCCAACCTTGACTGCTAGTATCTACACACAGCATGAAGGAGAGAGTATAATCTCGGTAGGCTGGTACAGCACTAGCCCCCTCACCCTGGCAGGTTGAGATCCTATTTACATGAAAAAAAATGTATTAATTTAACTACAATGTAATTTATTTAGTTAAATCAGTGTAAATCCCTGCAGAGTCACTCCTATTTTGCATTCACAGATGTGTATGAATTAAACTTCAGTCTGTAAGACATCTTCAAGCGCTCCAACTTTAGAAGTTAAATCCCCCAAGAAAAGGCCCGGTAATTGTGGTGTTTAAAAAGAGCTCCAGGGAACACTACCTATATTCTCCCACAAGGGTCAGTAACTCATGACCCATCTACATTGCTTTGTTGCTTTTGGGACACTTCTTCCTGACTGTATTCTTTTCCCTTTATTGTTGAGGCCCCTGTTTAGTTTGACCCCATCCCCAAACAGTGCAAGAGAGGTGCCACACATACAGCCTCAGCTCTAACTGGGGTTCTCTGATTATCTCTAGCTGGTCAGCTGCTGGCCTTTTGGCATGCCACTAGTCTTCTGTTGGCCAGCTCTGGTCACCTTCTTCTTCCAGAGTAAGAAGACATTAAACAAAAATAGGAAGCTAAAGAGAACACAAAAACTTTCCATAACAATTAAGCTGAGTATGTACTTCAGCATCACAGTGTGCAATTTAGGCAGAACATTCCTCAGCTCAAATTCAAGACCATTTGATGGCTGCTCATTCTGACTGTCCTGTATTTCTCGGTTCCTTCTGTCAACTGATGTCAGACCAACAGCCTCTGCCAACCCTCCTGCCCTTCTGCCACTCCATCTGCAGCAAGGGCTGTAGTATCAGCAGTCAGTCTCCAGGAGGCTCAACTCCAGGCAGCCTAGGGATGTGGCAAGGGACCAAGCATTAGGACTGGCAGAAGTTCAGTCAAATTAGCAGGAAAAGAAACAGTAGCTAATAGAAAAGAAGTTGAGAAATCTGGCCTTACTGTTCTCCCAGAACAGAGACTAATAGCTGCTTTGTTGACAGTCTCATCAAAAGAAGCTGAAGACTGAACAAGCATGGAAGCTGACAGGTGATCCTTTTATGTCAAAATTGACACTGCCTTGCTGTACTTCTTCAGCATCTGAAGATTTCAGTGAAAGGATGCATTCCTTTCCACCTGTCAAGCCCTGAATGAAGGAATGCATGTGTTACAAAGGCAGTTTGTGGAGCACAATTATTAATTCTGGAAATTTAAACAGGTGTAAAAAGTTGTGGCCCTTTAGTATGAATGATTCTTTCTTGAAGCTCAATTTCTTTCTTTCTTAAAGCTTTTTTTCTTTCATAATTTTTGGTTTTGGAGACAAATGGTTTCCAATCACAAAACTGTGGGATATGCCCAGCTTTAACTTTTCAGATAAAATGTCTGACAGCACTTGGAACGAGGCAGAGAGCCATAGGGAGATTTTAGATCAAATTTTCATCTCCTCCCTTATCCCCTCCCAACCCTGCCCCCAAGATATG